GCTGTCCTCGTCAGCGGGAGGCTCTGGAGGAAAGAGGGGAGCGTCAGCACGGGGTTGGGGTAGGGAGAAGGCTTGCGATTTTGCCAGTACTTCAGGAGTCCCAGAGGAGAGGAGTCCGCAAATAGGGCCAGGAGACCCGTTCCTCTTGGCAGCCGGCGTTCGTGCTTGCAATTCCGTCACCACTACGCCCCGGCAGCTCATAGTACATCCAAGAGCATGGGCCCTGCCAAGGCAAACTTTATTTAACCTGCGCTCTGCCAGACTGTCTGCATTCTTCTCAGGCGAGGCATTCAGGCCAAGGGCGTCTTTCCCCACACAACTGGGACAACACGAGCGGAGAGTCTGGAATAGCAACACCTAAGGGTAACCAGGAGCAAAGGAACAGCAGGTAGCCATCATCAGGGCCAGGGATGCGCCACGATGCTCCCTTCTTCAGCACGAAACAAGGTGCCTAGCTGAAGGTCTTTAAGGATGCACACCTAGGAAATGCCAGCTGCACAAGCAAGACCATTCAAAAAACTGAAAACAAGCCTTGGTGCAGCTGTAAGGTCTGTTATGTCTCAGGGCAAGGTCTTACTGGAGCGCAGGCAAAGCTCCTGGTGATCCCAGTAACAGCACTGGAAATGGGGAGATATGGCCTCTACACTCAGCCTCACCAGAGGCCCAGAGTGCTGCTATTGCTATGAGACAGGGCCAGAGATCCAAAGGGTAGCTTCTACTGGTCTTAGAGGACAAAATGTCACAGCACAGTCTTGCCTGGGAAAACGCCTTGTTTGAAGTACAATTGCTTAAAAGGGTTTTTATCTTCAGCCATCAGTAGAGTTTAACACCCCGGATCATGTTAAACCCTCCAGCCATCCCCAACCAAATTAAAGCGTTAAACTGTGGCTCCTCTAGGGGCAAGAGCTTTCATTAACATGGTTTTTCATTAACATGTTTTCTTATACAACCTGCTTTCCTAATTGAGAAAACATTTGACAAGCAACAGAAGCTCAGAGACTTGGGGACAGAGCTGCAAACAGTACAACTCTGCATCTGGGGAGATCAGATTGAACATTGACTTGAAATTTATCTCAGCAATAGTCGCTTACCGTCCTTTAAAAGGTTGCAGAAAGCAAAGGACAAACTTTTCTTTTTTCTTAGGAATGTTCCTAAAATAGCAACAAATCAAGCAAATAGTGGGCAGAGCGAAAGCTGAACTTCGAGAAGACAGCACACATTTCCAGACAGCTCAAGAGTGGACTGAGAACTGACGAATGCTGGAAGGCCCCGTAAAAACAACCTACCATTTCTAGATCATTTATTTCCATAAAATGACCAGAACTAGGCAACGAAGCCTAGAAGTAACACCGATAAATCTGATCGCATGTGCACGCATTGCGATTATGCAAGTGCTTACAGGTCTTAATTCCCACAGTTGCAAAACACCGTTGATGGAATTTTTTTTTTTTTAACTTAGTCTGGCAGCTCAGTGCCTTCCACTTCGGGAAGCAAAGGGCAGGATTTAAGAACAGCTCCATCGGTTTTGCCCCACCTGCGCTGACACCTGCTACAGCTCCATTGAAGCTCCTGAGAAGAGGCCAACGTGCACCATCGCATTGTGCTCAGACAGCGGGATACTCACTGCTGGGAGAGGGGGGAAAAAAAGCACCAAAAAGCACAGAGCATACAAGAAAAGAAGAAACTAGACAGGAAAGGGGACAAGAAAGAAGAAAGCGAAACCAAAGCTGGGTGCAAACGGAAGGAACGCTAGTGTCACTGTGCTCTGTGTTCCCTTTTGCCAGTCTGTCAGTGTGGGTACCCACCCAAAAGCACTGGGATGAGAGGAACTGTCAAGACCGGTCCATCTGGCTCAGCATCCTCCCTGGGAGAGGGGCTGATGCTCTCAGACACTCGGAAAAAAACATCAAAACAGAGTGACATCCCTTTTCCTCCCTACTCTCAACCCGCACCTGTTAAAGTCACCACCAACACCCACTTTGGGGGATGCACACTGCATTTGCACAGCACACAGGGGCATGCCCCAGCAGCGTTCATTAAACAGTGAGGAGCTAAGGAACTCCTCGGCTCGCACAGCTCTAGTTGCAACTCAGTGAGGGTCACACGAGGCTTCACCGAAAAACCCTACCTGCGTGAAACCCAGATTTCTCTGGCAAATTGACCTTTCCAGACAGACTTGCCGCACCAGGATTAACAGCTCACACTTCTCACACAGGAACTCCAAAGATGTGCTTGGTCCAAAGCTGACCTTCGCCAGCAGATCACAGATGATTTTTTGTACTATTAAAGGACTAAGCATTTGAGATCCATGTGCCACTTAGAAAGCACACACGCGCCGCCTTCTCCCAGGTAGAAATAAATCCAGCAAGAAACACAAATAGACCTTTGTTTTTTTTGGATGGCTGATGAGTTACTATTTCCATTCTGCTATTTCATGAAGAAATAGCCTTAATAAGAAAAAAAGAAAAACAAAACCATCACTGAACCATCTCCTTACACTTCAGCTCAGATTAGAAATAGATAGAAAGTGACCTCCTGGGCTCAGATGTTCAAATGCCTTGATAATGCCCAATGCAAAGTGACAGACTGCAAAGGCTAAAAAGTCCTGGATGGTAGTCTGGAGGTGCATAACTTGCCCATGCTGTAAGGGTCCTCTGTTTGAAATAGCTGCTGATGGAGGAATGAAATAGCTGCTAAAAAAGAGCTGAGTTAATGCCATGGCTTAAGCTGGAACTCCAAGGTCAGCTGAAGGGGCCCATTAAGACAGGAACGGCAGAAATGCCCTGGGAATGAGAAACAAGGCCCGGGGGGTACATATCTTGGCCCTCTGGCACCTAGAAGGCACAAGGGCTGCTAAGACGGAGCAGCCTATGGTCAAGACAGACTAAGGGTCAGGAACAAGCAAAACATGATGTATGGCCTTGGTTTTACCTGGTTGCTGTGAGCTGGATGCACTCAGTTAAGTGGACTACCCAGAGGGTTCACCTGCAGATAGAGACCTCAGCTCCAAGTAAAGGTTGGACAAGTTGGATTTGCTTAGTCTGGAAAAAAAAGATGGACCAGGAATGGACAAAAAGATATGACACTCTCCAAATTTACAAACAGCTTCTGCAAGCTGGTAAATCTCTGCTTTTCTCAGGCTATTGAGGTTGGTATAAGAACTGTTAAGTTCACTCCATTTGAGCTGAGGAATGGTTGAGTTAAATGTGCTGATTGTAATTAAAATCTGAAGCAACAACAATTGTGATTCCTCCAAAATTGTCAAAATTGATTCTAAGGATTTAGACAAACACAAACGGGAGGCCACATTAGGAAGAAGACAAAGACAAGAAAGCCTCTACTGGTCTACTTGAGCTGTATAAATACAGATAGCTCTATAAATACATGAGCTGTGCATAACAGTAGCAAGTCCAGCTCAACATCTACAGCTTTCCACCCCAGAACAAGGCCTCCATTTCCCTGAGGTCAGTTAACACAGCATGGCTAACCAGAAGCTCAAAAAAGGCCCGTGAGACTAAGGTAGTGAAAAGGATTTAAGAAAAAGGCGACATCTGGAAATGCACAAGGCATTCAGGCATCTGACTGCTATGAAATCAAGAAAGGCTGGTACTTAAATCATGAGACCATCCCTCCCTTCACAGTACTTGTCCCCCAAATTCCTCCCCAAATTGTGCCTCAAACCACAAGAATATCTTTAACTGAAGGGTTCAGAAAGAGCAGCATTTCAATGGCTTTGCTCAGAAATGTTTTACAGTC